ACCCCTGACCCACCTGTTGGGCAGCCCCACCTGGATGTCCCCAGAAACCACAATCCCAGCACATCCAGACCTGAATCTCCCCCAATTCCCACAGGAATTAGGGAGTCATCCCAGATGCCTCTTGCCCCCTCGCTTCCCACCTCCTGTGGGATCTTGAAGAAGGCGAGGGATCGGCCTGGGTGAAATGGTTCCCAGAAGGTAGGCACGTGAGCGCAGGGTAAGTCTGAGAATTCAGGAGGCTTGGAGCACTGAGAGCCTGGGCTGGAGACCGGCTGAGTGGACTTTGGGGGAGTGTCCGACCCTTCTACTTTGACCTCGTTTGCTGGGACCAATGCCAAGAACAAAGCCTCCTATGACAAAATGTCCAACTGGGAAATATTTGGATTTTCCTCCCACCCTCAAAACAGCCTTCAGACACTCAAGGGAGGGATAATTGAGGAGGGGGAGTGAAGCCAAAATCAGATCTCCTGCTCTGGTTCCCTTAAGTGTGCAGGACAGACAGCCAACTGGTTTGAGGCCCTGGGGGCATGGACGACCACCTTCTCTGAGTCTTGCCTGCTGCCCCTCACTCTAAGGCAGGGGGACACTTCCCTGTAATTGATGTAATGAAGCCTACAACGCTGGCATCCTGCTTCACTTTCTTCTATATTCCAGCCTTTAAAGGAACAGGTAGGTTCTCTTAATATTGACATGAAAACAAGGGAAATACAACTTTTCTCCAACAATAAAAAAACCCTTTCAAAAGAAAAAGGACAAGATTGTCCAGAGCTGGTTGAACCACACTGTGAGCTAATTATAGAAAAAGGAACTTTGGTTTTCCCTCTTTTGTAATAAGAGCTACCTTGTTTACTCTGAGTCGGGTACTCTCTTTTATGATATCTTCATTAAACAGAGGAGGAAATTGAGGGCGGAAAGAGGTTACGTAATTACCCCGAGGTCGCACAGCTGGTGGTGGGGAGCCTGGGCTTATCCATGGGCAGGTGGTTCTAGGGTCTTCACCGCTGCACCACTCAGGTTGGCTGGAGGCGGGAAAAGGCATCTTCCCAGCGCTACAACATGCAAGACGTTCTGAGGGCGTGGGCTCCGATGTGCAGGTGGAAGTAGAGGGAAGGGGGCCATTAAGATATATCTAGAAACATTTAGGCTAATTTGAGAAACTATATTTAGGAAAGGCAAAGTAATATTTAGGATGCTAGAGGCACCTGAGATGATTCCATGTTGTCACAGTATTTCCAGAAGTATTTCCATGATTTATTCAGGGGTGGGGTGGGGTGGTGGGGTGGGAGGACCACAAGGGAAGAGAAGGGAGAATGTTATGTGGACTATGTATGACTTGAAGTGAAAAAAATGCTAGAAAACGGACATAAATACAATAACAGTTACTCAGTAACTACAAAGAACAGTTACTCAACTCATCTTGTTACTGTCACGCACAGATAAGAAATCCTGTTTAGGAAGCCTTGACTGTGCCTGACTGGGCTGTGGGGATAAAAGTGAAAATTCCAGATCTCAGCGGAGCTAAGAAACTTTGATAAATGAGAAATAGGATAAATGAAAAAATATCACCACCAAAATCTGAGAAAGAAAAGGAGATTAAGCCTGGGTGGTGTGGCTCAGTGGTTGAGCATCGCCCTATGATCTAGGAGACTATGGTTCTATTACAGGTCCCCACAAACCCAGGCTTCATCCCTGGTGGGTGCGTGCAGGAGGCAGCTGATCAATGACTCTCATCATTGATGTTTCTCTCTTTCTTCCTCTCTCTGAAAATAAAACTTAAAAAAAAAAAGAAAAAAAAAAAAGAAAGAAAAGGAGATTAAGTAAACAGGATTATAGCCAATGTCACCAACAAAAAGCAAGAAACCACGCACAAAAAGCAAGGGTTTTTTTTTTTAGTAACCATGCTGTGATAACTTTCTAAAACATTGTGAGCTCCGTAGCTAGGCTTAGTATAATATTCACAAACTTAAGGACCGATTTTTTTTTTTTTTTTAATATATCTTTATTGATTTCAAAGAAAGGAAAGGAGAGGGAGAGAGGGAGATAGAAACATCAATGATGAGAGAGTCATTGATCAGCTGCAGCCCACATCACGAGCATGTGCCCTGACCGGGAATCGAACCCCGATCGCCTGGATCCCAGGTTGACGCTCAACCACTGAGCCACGCCCGGCCGGGCAAGGGCTGATCTTTAACATGGTCTTGTGCTCAGGTGGCATGTCTCCTGCTGAGAGGGGAGTCAGGAGCCAAGCTGAGTTATAAGGGTGATTAGAGTTAGCAAGAAGGACATAAATGGAAAGCTGGTTTATGGGGAGAGGTATTTAAATTCTCCGTAAAGTGTGTTCTGCTACTAAGGAAAAACCAGGTTATGGACCCAGCACCCTCTAGTGTCTGGAAAGGTCACTGCAGTCTTGCTCCTGTGGTAAGGTCAAAACTGGTCCCCTCTGTTAATTCCTGCAAATATTTACAATACTAATTTCTAGTGACACCGAGGGCCTGCTTGGTGTGCCCAACAGTTGCTGTGAACTGGAATCTTACCCCCTCTCCACCCTCAAATGTGGTGTTCAGGCCTGGCCTGGTTGGAGGCAAGCTATGAAGATTATGCTGTGGAATTCCCTCAGCGCCTGAGAAGTTGCTTCCTAGTGCCTTTAGGGGGCAGGGTGGGGTGCATTTCCATGTTTGAAATAAGGGCCTGTGTTAACCTACAGTTTAAAATTTCTCTCAGTATAACAGAAACATGACTATACACCAGGCCCTGGTGTGGTATAATGTCACATGTGGGACCAGCAACTTCTTTGAAAAAGATTTCAGTGATAGCTATCCTGAGTTGCCTATTTCTAAATGGATACCCTACCCC